TATTGTATCAAAAATTGACTAAAAATCGGGCTAAAAATGTGATTTATTTAATATTGAACTTTGTAAAAAATATCTAAAATGGTTGCCTTTCCTAAAGATATTGTGACGCTTGTGTTTTACATAGAAATTTATGCTTTTTGGTTTAAATTTGTAATTCATTTTGTTAAATATTATGTAAAAAAGAAATAAAACAAATTTTGGATTTGCTTTTTTAGTTTTAGTCATGGTAAAAATATCAAGGTAGTGTCATTCTCTCTTTTTGTCGCCATATTAACCATCTGACGTTTGCTGGTATTTTAATAAACACATTTACCACACCACTTTTACTTTGAAAATCCCATTTTTTGTTTGTTTATTTTTTAATCAAAATCAAAAATAAAATTCAATTTAAACTAAACTAAAAATCAAAATGTACAAATTTAATAAAAAAAATCAATAAAAATTTAAATAAATGTACAAAAAATTCAATTAAAACTATAAACTTCCTGTTAAGTCCTATATCAAATTGAATGTCTCTTGCTGTCCGTATCAAGCAATTGCAATTAGTGCTCCATCCGGTCCAAGAATACACGGTTTTCTTCAAGTGAAAAAATTTAACATTCACGAAATCTTTAAGTACTTTGCTTCCAGTTTATTGTCTAATATGGACACGATTATTACATGTTAATATTCGAGGGAATGAGTGACATCATTAAGCAGTCCTGGAATAGTAGATTGGATTGCAAAATATAAAAGGCCTTAGGGACAGAACTTGATGTGAAGGCTACCAAGATACTTATAGGACTGGGTAAACGCATTCCAACGGGTAGGAATTAGAGTCATCGAGCATATAATTTGCCACTATCCTAGGACACAGAATATTAGGTTGAAATGGCTGGGGAATAGGTTCCATAACAAACATGAAGAAATTGCGGGATTTAACCCCCGCAGTCTACTGCTTTTATCATTCGATTGGAGATTATCTCACGTTTCTTCAACTAGGGAATTGACTCGGTAAATCTTCTGGGTTGAAACGCCATGAGAATGGACCAGTTTCAATTCATCATTCCTTTTTATATATTTTATATCATTCTTGTTTTCTTTTAGTGTTCTTGTTTCTCTGTCTTTGGATCTTCAGTCTCTTTGAAGGGAATTAGAATGAACCTTATGGTCTCCGAGTGGATGTTGTCCTTTTTATGGACAACATAACCTAAACCTAAGGACACAATTATACATTGCTTCAAAACCCTTTCAAATGATAATCTACATTGTATACAATTTAAATAACAAACTAAAACAATACCTTTTTTTAATCGGGACAGCTCGACAACAGTTACCACTGGATCTAAATTATTTTGAAAATTATTAACATAAATTCCACAATCACAACACAAATTTCTTAGAAACTATTTTTCCCTTTTTCATATGTGGCAACGATGTTCTATTTATTTACAAAATACGAATTTCAAAAAATACCAGCAGACTTCAAAAAGTTTTTTTGAGAGAGAGGAATGACACTACCTTTTTTAGTTTTAGTTTTTTTCCAAATAAATCTTTGACTTTTTTGATTGATTATGAAGAGTGTGTGCCAATCGGTAACATTTTACTTGAAAATGTAAATTTTTGATAGATATGAGGTGAATAAATTTTACTAGCTACATAAATTTTTGACAAATGAAAAGAAAAACAAGTTAGAGTGCTATATTCGGCTGAGCCGAATCTTAAATATCCTCCACCAGCTACTTTTATATTAATAATTTTCTAATTGATCAAATATTTGTAGAAATAAGTTTTCTCATGTCTTAAATAGAAAAAATCCCAATTTTAAACAGCTTAAATCTATTACAATTCCAAGATTTATTAAACATTACAAACGCCATTTTCTTTATATCTTAATAGCGCTTAGTGATACATATTTAGTAATTTGCATGTATGCGTGTGTGTGAAAGATTTAACGATTTTCAAAATACATATATATATAATTTTGTTCTACACAAATTGATATTGCAATTAGTTAAATACGTTTAAGCGCTTTTAAAGGCAGGACCCAGTATTGGAGATATGACCAATTATAGACCGATCGTAAAAAATTCTTTAAGCAAAATTTCTGTACATAAGAGCTATATTTCAGTCAAATTTTGTATCTATATAGTAATTTTGTAATAAGTTAGGAGTGTTTATGTGATTTTCTGAAAGGAAACTTGTATGGGACCGATCGCACCCATGATATGAACCGATCGTGAAAAAATCTTGAAATAGAATTTTTGTATACAAAACTAGTATTTGTGCAAAATTTTGTATCAATAGCTTTATTTGGTAATGAGTAATGTGCGTTTAAGAGATTTTCGTAAAAGGACCTTGTATGGGAGCTATGACCAATTATGTATACAAAGACAAAATTTCAAAATTCTGTATCTATATCATTATTTGGTAATGAATATTGTGCATTTAAGTGATTTTCTGGAGGGGACCTAGTATGAGAGCTATGACCAAATATGGACCGATCGTAAAACAATTTTATAGTATAATTTATGTATATAAGAGCATGATCAATTATGGACCGATAGGAAAACAATTTCACAGTAATATTTCTGTGCACATAAGCAGTACTTGTACCAAATTTTATATGGATTTCTTCATTAACTAATGAGTTATGTGGTTTTAAGTGATTTTCGGGAGGGGACCTTGTATGGGAGCTATTTATGGACCGATAGGAAAAAATTTTCACAGCAGTATTTTTGTGCATATAAGCAATACTTGTACCAAATTTTAAGTGATTTTCGGGAGGGGACCTTGTATGGGAGCCATGACCAGTTATGGACCGATCGGAAAAAAATTTCTTAGTAATATTTCTGTGCATATAAGCAATACTTGTACCAAATTTTATATGGATATCTTACTTTAGTAATGAGTTATTCGCGTTTAAGTGATTTTCGGGAGGGGACCTTGTATGGGAGCTATGACCAATTATGGACCGATCGGAGAAAAATTTCAAAGTAATATTTCTTTGTCTATGAGCAATACTTGTGACAAAGCTCATATGGATATCTTAATTTAGTAATGAGTTATGTGCGTTTAAGTGATTTTCGGGATGGGGACCTTGTATGGGAGCCATGACCGATCGGAAAAAAATTTCTTAGTAATATTTCTGTGCATATAAGCAATACTTGTACCAAATTTTATATGGATATCTTACTTTAGTAATGAGTTATTCGCGTTTAAGTGATACTTGTACCAAATGGGAGCTATGACCAATTATGGACCGATCGGAAAAAAACTTCCGCAGTAATATTTCTGTGCATATGAGCAATACTTTTATATGGATATCTTCATTTACTAATGAGTTATGTGGTTTTAAGTGATTTTCGGGAGGGGACCTTGTATGGGATCTATGACCAATTATAGACCGATCAGGAAAAAATTTCACAATAATATTTCTGTATATAAGAGCAATATTTGCACCAAATCTTATATGGATATCTTCATTTACTAATGAGTTATGTGGTTTTAAGTGATTTTCGGGAGGGGACCTTGTATGGGAGCTATGACCAATTATGGAGCGATCGGGAAAAAATTTCTCAGTAATGTTTCTGTACATATGAGTAATACTTGTACCAAATTTAATATGGATATCTTTATTTAGTAATGAGTTATGCGCGTTTAAGTGATTTTCGGGAAGGGAACTTGTATGGAAGCTATGACCAATTATGGACCGATCCTAAAAAACTTTCACAATAATATTTCTGTATGTGAGAGCAATACTTGTACCAAATTCTATATGGATATCTTAATTTATTAATGAATTATGTGCGTTTAAGTGATTTTCGGGAGGGGACCTTGTATGGGAGCTATGTCCAATTATGGACCGATCCAGAAAATATTTTCTTTGAATGAATTCTATTGACACAAAATTTTAGTATGTAAAATTTTGTGAAGATATCGACATTGTGACGGAAGTTATTAACAAAAAACCCATTTTCCGGGAATATGTACTTTTGTATGGGAGGTATATGAAATTGTGGACCGATGCTAGCAATTTTTAACAGGGATCAAGCTCTTCTGTAGAAACTTATGTATGGTGATTTTCATGAATTTATATTGCATGGTTTTCGAGAAAATTACATCAGAATGTGTAAAAAATGTTTATTTTTTTCGAGGTTGTTTTAAATTTTGATTCATAACTCTCTTCTTCGTTTTAACGTGAGCGTGTTTTAGGCAGACAGACAGACGGACATAGCTAAATCGACTCAGAAATTGATAAGGACCCAGAATATATATACTTTGTTGGGTCTCAGATGAATATTTCTTGGTGTTACACACGGAATGACAAAGTTATATATACCCTCTATCACCACTGATGGTGGTGGAGGGTATAATTAGAGCTTCTTTTATTAAAATTAGCAATTAGTGACAATTGTCAAAATTTAATGTAATCAAAAAGATTTCGTTTGGCACAGCAAAAGTGATAATATTTTCCACCATAAGAAAATTTTATTTTACCATAGAACTTTGCTGCCGTTTGGCACAAAGTCGAAGTACCGTATCAAAATACATGTTCCTGCAAAATTTTACACTCCTACAATTTAAATCAACGTCCACATCAACGAATTTGAAAAAGATTATGTTCTGCATGAAAATATATGAAAATTTTTAAATTCTTTCGAATTTTTAACATCAAAATGTTGTAAGTTGGCATTAAATAAAACAAAAATGACACTTTTAATCAATCGTTGTGAATTAAAGCTTATTTTAACAGCTTTAGATTTTGTTCAAAGAAAAATTCCAGTTTTCGAAAATCTTTATGAAAACAAAAAAGCCTTATTCCTGTCAAGTTTCGGAATTTAAAAATGTTGAACCATATTATTTTTATTATATAAAAACAAAATAAAATCTGAACTATTCGAAATTTATTAAATATCTCGATATTTTAAGATTTTAATTAAACAAAAAATGTTGTCTTGTCTTTTTATTTTTAATTTAAAATTTTTATTTTTAATTTAATTAATTATTACGTATTGCAGGAAATGGCATTAAGTGAAAAATCACCTGCATACAAAGGTTGGAAAATATCACCATTACCATTACATTTTGATGTTTATCTATTCAACTGGACAAATCCAGAAGACTTTTATATTGGATCAAAGAAAAAACCACGTTTCGAACAATTGGGTCCCTATAGATTTCGTGAAGCACCCGATAAAGTTGATATTCAATGGCATACAAATTTTTCGGTATCATTTCGAAAAAAGGCTATATTTTATTTTGATCAAGACAGTAGCAATGGCACATTGGATGACAAAATAACCACGGTTGATACAGTTGCACATGTAAGTTAAACTTAAGATTTTAAATATACTTTTAAGTAAAATCCCTACATAGTATAATTTCGTTTATAATTTATGTTTCAGTCAGCTGCTTTAAGATTAAAAACAAAATCAAATTTCGAAAAATTCTTTCTCAATCGTGGCCTAAGTGCTTACAGTAAAAAATTTTATATTACAAAAACTGCTAATGAATGGTTGTTTACTGGTTATCAAGATCCCTTTGTAACAATTGGCGGTTATTTCTCCAAACTTACAAGTGCAATAGAAGTGCCTTTTGATCGTATTGGGTGGTTGTACACGGTAATATTACTTTAAACTACGAGAAAGGAAAACATAACGTACTTATGTGTACTTTGACGATTTATTTATTTGTTTTTACATATAGCGCAACAATAGTGCTCATTACGAGGGCCATTTTAATATATTTACCGGCAGTGATGATATTTCAAAAATGGGTCAAATACATGAATGGAATTATAAAACTCACAATGGTGTCTTTGATGGAGAGTGTGGCCGTGTAAAGGGTTCCATGGGGGAATTCTTTCCACCCAATTTAACACCACAAGATTCTATATTTCTCTACGTCCCCAATATATGTCGCGCAGTGCCCTTGGATTATACAGAAACAGTAGCTATACATGGGGTTACAGCTTATAAATACAGCGGTACTGAGAGATTAGTGGATAACGGTGAGTTGAAAATTTAAGTACGTTTTACAACAGGTACTTTTTGTTAAAAATCTGTTAAATATTTACACAGACACAAATTCGCAGAATAAGAAGAATAATTATGAAGAATAAGAAGAATTTATGAATTATTTGATTAGTTTGCAAAAAACTTTTATTCTTACATTAATATAAATATGGACAACAAAAAGGGCGTATATAGTAATATGAATATATTAACAAGGAAATTGTAAAGTTTTTATTAGTTTAAAGTTGAGAAGTTTCAGGTTAGTGTAAATCATTAATCTTTAATGTTACAAACTTTATTTATGTGCTTTTGGACATTGTATTCCAGTCTTTTAAGTTGAAGCTGTCCAAATTTTATAAAAATTAATCATTGTAAGTATATAAAAAATCTGTTATATACTTGTCTTTTCACAAGAAAGACAAAAACTTCTTACGTATACTGAACCTTGCTTCCTGGGCAAGAAGATACCGGTGACAGAGTTAATTACTTAGGTGTAATTCTCGAAATTAATGACACCACATAGAGGATAGGATCAACAAGGCACATCGGTGCTAGGAGATATGTAGGAGAACTATAGGCATGAAGTGGGGTCTTAGTCCTACTTTGACAAACTAGCTTTATAAAAGTGTAATTCGAGCAATTCTAGTTTATGCTTCGATAATCTGGTGGACTCCTTTGGACAAAAAGTATAATATCAAACTACTACAGGGAATTCAGCGTACATGCTGCTTGGGTATAAGTGGCACTACTTCAACCAAATCTCTGGAAACGTTGCTAGATATTCCTCCCATTGATACATATTTAAGATATGAAGCGGCGCTTACAGCCGAACGTCTCTTTACTTTAGGTGAACTGGCCAAAAGCGATTATAGGACACGTCATCAATGTATACTGGACACATTGGAAGGTTATACACAATCATCGGACATGCCTGATCGCATACCAGACACAGAATATGTCGGAAACTCTGAAACGATGATCCCAGATAGAATGTCTTGGTCATTCGGAAAACTAGTGCAAATACCAGTAAGAATCCGTTGTTACATGGATGGTCCTGGGGTTCTATATTGAATACCCAGAAACAGAAATATACCACCGTTTACCTAATGATAACATAATCTTCCAGGCAGAAGTCCGAGCAATAACAGAATGTGTAAATTGAATTAGAATAAATATGGCGCCCACGGGAAGGGAGCTCGTGGTAGTTAACCTGGCGAACTCAAAACCATTCAAAAGCTGAATTAAAAATATGGGTGAGAGAATCCCATAACGCCTCTTGGAATAATGAAACGGTGGGTAGAACAACAAAGATCCTATGTGGTGACCCTGATGAGAACAGGACGAAAAATCTCCTCAAAATTAGCAAATCTGAAGTTAGTAGAAGGTACGTATTCTGAGTTGGCACACAACATTACGAGCACATCTACACAAAATTGGCCGTGCGGATTCAGACGAATGTAGAGCATGTGGAGAGGACAGTGAAACTCTGGAGCACTTTCTTTGCCACTGTCAAGAATTCGTCGAAGTTTGTTCCAAGTATCTCGGAAGTGATGTTATTCCGGAAACAACATTTCTGACTAACTCTGGTTGGAATTTCTGAACATTAAAAAATAATATACTCAGGGAACAAAAGGAAGAAAAGGAGCACACAACAGGCCCGATAGTGGTCTGGGTGTATTTCTTCGGGTTTGATGTACTATACATCTTCCTATCGAAGTTTGTCGAAGTTTGTTCCAAGTATCTCGGAAGTGATGTTATTCCGGAAACAACATTTCTGACTAACTCTGGTTGGAATTTCTGAACATTAAAAAATAATATACTCAGGGAACAAAAGGAAGAAAAGGAGCACACAACAGGCCCGATAGTGGTCTAGGTGTATTTCTTCGGGTTTGATGTACTATACATCTTCCAATCAACCTAACCTAGCCCATATAAAAAATCAAAAACTACTACACATATGCAACAGAAATATATGGATATATGCCCTTATTCCATCTTAACAAAATTTCAAATATGGATTTTGACAAGATGTGACTTAAATTTTTTACTGAAATTTTGCAGAGGTAGCTATAAATTATATCTAAATATGTTTAAAGAAACCCGTCTGCAAAGATACAATTGAAAAGTTTTGTGATATTTTTATCGTCTCGAGTAAAATTTCCCAAATGGTATATATGTACGCCCTTATGCTTCAAATGTTTGTTTACACCGAATAATGACAACCTTATCTATTTTGTTTTTGAATAGAGAACATTTTAATTTTATTAAAATAAAAAGGTGTAAAATGTACCAGCACGTCCGTAAAACGACACCTCCGTAGTATAATAAAAAATTTCGACTTTTGGAACTATTTTTAACCTTTTTCGAATATAAGAAAATATAAGCATTATTAGCCAGCAAAAACTCGGTAATGGCTTGGACGCACAATAAAATTACTAAGCAGTGGATTTGTAAGTATAACAGCGAATTAACAAACTATAAGCCCAGTTTCGTATTCTGTGTGCTTAATTTCGTTTTGTTTTTAAAACAAAACTCATTACTTTTCAATGTACGTTTTTGCTGGGTGAATTGACTTTTTTAAGTGTTACATTTTAGACTGGTTTGTTGTATTATTTACAAAAGTTAAACTTAAATTGACCTAGGGTAGAAATACAATATTGTGGCTACGGAGACGGTTATTTTTTATATTGAGTTTTGACAACTAAAATCGTAGAAGAAATCCGCACCAAATTAAAATTTATTTTAATCTGTTTACGAATTTTCTCTCTCACATTTAGAGTTGCCATGCCTTTTGTACTTTCTACGCCCTTTCTATGAACAAAAATCATGTGTCGAATAAATAAACTAAAACAATAAAATGGCTCCATTTAATTTACATTTTCTCTTGGTACCAGAAAACGCAACTGCATTCGTAGGTTTGTATTTCTACGCTTTTTTCAACATGTTAATAAGTAAAAAAGTATTGTCGTATATGATCAAACATGTGATTAAAAAAATGTATGCAAATAATTCGGTATTTTGAAAAGTCAATTCATGAAAAACATTGTATGTTAACACTGTAGTATTGTAATGCCTTGTATCAACTTTAATGGGTCTATTATCGATATCTATAACTTTTTGGCAACCAACGAAAGTTGCCGTTCATAATACCAAGTTTTATGTCAATTGCGTTGACTGCTGGCAACTCAACTGAAGTTTGGTTGCTATCCATAATCGACTCTTAAAAACCGTGTGCCAAAAATCTGTAATATTGATAATTAAAATATGTATGTTTGAAATAGAATAGGTATTGTATTATTGAGAAATATTAATACTCAGTATTGTAGTTTGAAAATGCTTTTAGATTTAGGTACCAAATGACATCTGAGTTACGTACCAACTGACAAGCCTTCATTTCTTATTAAAAGAAAATTGAAAAAAGACTCGTTATTTATTTTATATGATTTAATGTTTTTCTTTTTATTAGGTACAATGTTCCCAGAAAATAAATGCTTTTGCATTAATGGTAAATGTGAAGCATCTGGGATATTCAATATATCACCCTGTAAATTCAATTCGTCGATATACATGTCTTATCCGCATTTTTTCAAAGCCGATCCTGTGTATTTAGAACGAATTGAAGGACTGAAACCAGAAAAGGAAAAGCATGAATTTTTCATGACTTTAGAACCTAATGCAGGCGTGCCAATGGATGTGGGTGGTGGTTTTCAGGCAAACTATCTTCTGGAGTCAATTGAAGGCATAAAGTAAGTAAATTTTACCAAATTTGTTTATATGTTTGTTATGGTTTTCTTAATATTTATTGCAGCGGTTTCAACAATTTACCTCGTACTTTTATACCCATTATGTGGGCTGAAGAGAGAGTGAGAGTCACTTCGGAAATTGCTGCCGATATTGCATTAGTACCACTAATTGTATTATTGGGTCAATTACTAACTGGTATTTTATTGGCAATTGGAGTAATAATGATATGTTGGTATCCAACAAAATTTGTTACAGTCTGCTGGCAAGATCCCAAAGGAAAAAGTAAATTACTTCGACCACTATCCGCCACAACTTCAACGAGCATTTCAAGGTCGCAACACCGCAGAACCAGAGAACATCTAAACCTCATAGAACGCCGAGATGTTGATCTATTGCGTAACAATGGTTCTTTAGATGAATGCTTATTGAATAACACTTTATCACATCAAACGTACTCCTCAGATGTGATAACTAGTTGATAGGCTTATGCGAATAAAGTGATTATTATACATACATATTTCTCAATTGCAATTATAGGATAATAACTCAAAATTCGATCTACAACAAAATATAAACCGAACCGTATACCATTCTACGTCAAGGCGGTCAAAAGACTAAAACTTTTTATTAAATTGGAATTTTGATACTCGATTTATTGTTCAGTATTTTCTGATATTACAAAATTTTAATTATTAACTATGTTTTTTAACAATATGAGAGAATATGAACAATAATTGTGTAGAACTTTTGCAATTTTTTTTACCAAATCGGTGATCCTTTGAACTTTGTGGCAGAAGTACAATAAATAAAATTAAAAAATTGCCATTATTATACCATACACTTCGATTTAAAATTTCAAAACAAAATGTAGTGTTTAGTTCCTTCCAGACATACATGTGCATAGGAAGACAGTATGAAAATTTCGATTTTGCTCAGATGGGACTTATTTTGTTCATTAGTCTATAAACAAATAGTAATAAATGAAATTTATCAGTTCAGCAGTCCGTTTAACTTCAACAAACAAAAACAGTTTGTGACCACAAACAAATATTTTTGGCCACTTTCTCAAATCGTGTTAAAACCATCAAATTAATCTGTTGTTATACATAAATGTCAAAACAATTAATCAAGTTTTCAAGCTATATTTTTTGACCTGTGAACCTTTAAAAGCAAATGAGCAATTTGTATGTATATACATATGTACATATTTTTCTACAAGTATTTGAAATATTATTTGCAAACTAAAACAATTTAGATCTTTATAAAAGCAAGCGCAAACTCTTTGTACAAATAAAATGTTGTAACCTTAAATTAAGTATATGTATGTATATAATATTCAAGCATGAGAAACACACGCACAATATTAAAGGTCATATACATATGTATGTAGTACATTAGATGTGTCCAAAAATATGAATTTTGCTTGGATTGTCCCCATTTTGATATTTAGTGTCAAAAACTAAATGATGTAAAATTTTAGCCAAATCGGATAACGGGAACCCGTGCCGGAAATCGATTGAAAAGTGTCAAATTGGGCAAATAATAGGACTTTTTTTAATTTCTTCAAAAACTGTGCCATTAAAATTCGTCTAGAGAAAATTATATTTCCAACAAGTTAATATTAAAACAAATAACAAAGTTATAGGCATTTACTTTTCACAAATATGTAGCAAAAATGACAAATTAACCCATATTTTACTCAATTTTTGTGTAGATATTTTCTTTTATATCAATTCTGCGTACAAAACAAAGACCAAACAATGCAAAAAGCGAATGATTTTTTTAATATATGGCTTGGGAAATTGCCAGCAATAATAAAACGAAGTACTTCCGAAAGAATAACATTTATCACCACTTCAAAAGTAGCACTAATTGAATTTTTTTACCTTTTGATGTTTTTTTTCAATGTTGAAAATATATGTTATAATTATATATTATAATTTTATGAGATAAAAAATGTTATATTTGGGCTTTTCGAGTAAATAAAAAGTATTACCCAAATTAATGTTAATATTATTTAAGTCAAATTAGTTGTATTCTATAATACTACAATTTCACTTCCAAAAAAAGCGTTAAAAATACTTCTTGAGAATGACTTCAGAAGTAGTGAATTTGGAATCAAATAAAAATAACTTTTTCAGGTCTTTTTCAGTACTTCCATGGAGTAAATTCTCCATCTTTTTCGCTTCTTTGGAATTTCTTTTTTTGAAGAAATCAAAAAATGTCCTATTATTTACCCAATTATGCACTTTTTTAATCGAGTTCTGGCACAAGTTCCCGTTATCCGATTGGACTAAAATTTAAAACCATTTAGTTTCAGACGCTAATAAACAAAATTAGACCCATCCAAACATAATCGATATTTTTGGGCACATCTAATGTACATATTACTAACAATCGTAACCTTTATTTTATATATGTATATATTTTTTCTAAACCATTAAAAAAATAAAAACAATTAAATATTTATCCTAAATTAAAGTTCGTTAATGTATAAATATTAAAAAGATTAGGTTAATCTTGTTTGTGTTCATTCTAATATAAAATGCTGGCATTTTATACTAAAACAGACAGACAGAAAACAATACTTATGTGTTATGACGTTATTGAACTTTGAGTCTAAAGTCGTCTTTATATTATATATATTTTTTTAGAATAATTAAGTTTTTAAGTTGTCTTAAGAATTCAAAATAATTTAATTAAGCTGCATTTAAAATTACTGGTTATTTTTTTTTTAGTATTTAAAGCAATATTTTAGCAGAGTTTATTTGAAAATTTACAATTTTTGCTAAACTCCAGTGATAATGTTAAAAGGCTTTCATTATATCTGTAATATGGTAAATGTTAATTAAACAATAAATATTACCAAAAGTGTAAACAATTTTGTTTTTTATAACTATACTAGCATATCCTGGGTGCTTCGCTACCCTAACCAAAATTAAATACATATAAAATTTTGTTTTCTTTTATAGAAAAATTAAAATTTTTTTAATGTTTCAGTTTTTTACGTTCAATATCACGTGAATAAAATCGCATGCAGGAAGAAGCTGGTATTTTGAGTTCCATTTGTTAACTTCCACATTATAGAAAATATAGAAAGTACTATTTGAAAAAAAGTACTACAAAATATCTCTTATAGATTTTCATTTAATAAAAAATTTGATGTTTTTGCCCCACAGAAAATTTATAGCTTACTACATTGATATTATGTTGCTTATTTTGTATTCGAAAGTGCTTACAAACTTACACACACTCTGGCTTACTTTACACAGGGTATGGCCGCTTGAAAATGACACACTAACTGATATACTTGGTTTGTGATATTGTGTGTAGATTACACTTCTTTATAATATACTTGTGTGTGGAAAAGTAGCTATTCCTACATTCTTACCGATATACCTAGTAAGTAAAATTGTATCTACAGCACCTTTCTAGCTGGAACACAAGTGTATCAAAAAGTATCTACAACAACTTTCTAGGTTAAATACATATGTATTAAAAAGTATCTAAATATGTATATTTTTAAAAAAATGCTACCCAAATACATGTATCTACAAATTCATTCATAAGTATAAGGCCATTCCAATTATCGCTAGATCATGATCCTAATTTTAAGCAATAAATTTTGCTTAAATGTAAGCTATGGAAAATGTAAATAATATTGTGTTGTATTTAATTCAAATGGGAGGGGCCAATCCCCCCATTGAAAGTCCGCCCATTAGCCACCCCCTGATGAAAGTCCGCTTTTTTCCCCCAAAATGTTCAGATGAATATGAAAGGCCTTTTTCCAAAATTTTAGAAATCTAGTTCTATTAGTTTCTTAGATAAAATATTTTTTTGTATTTAATTCATATTCAATATTTTCTTAATATGGAAGGTGCCACGCCCACTATAGTCATTCCGCCTATTTTGTCCAAAAATATTCTTATGAATGTCAAAGCTATCCGTGCAAAATTTGAGGACTCTAATTGTACCAGCTTCCAAGATATATGACTTTTAATAGTTATTTAATAAGTAGGCGTGGCACCTCGCCTATTTGAAATTTTTAAATATAAAGTAGCCTATAGTTCCTTCCAGATATAGACCAAGGTACTGTTAAAATTTCAAGAAAATCGGTCCAGCCGTTAAGCCGTCTATAGACTTCAAACAAACAAACAAACCCACAAACAAATAAACACACATTTTTATATACAGTGGCGGCCATGAGGTTAGCTTTGGTTTGGTATCTGTTAAATATAAAATCAAATATTTCCTATAGTTCTTAACTTTTTTAACAAAAAAAATCTGGACATAAGTTTAGCACAAAATAAAAAAATCATTAAAAAATTAAAAATAAAGCAAAGAAACCGGATAAATTTATGTAATTTCACTTAAAATTTTATATTTTGTAGAATAGTTGCACATTTTGATAATATAATTTCTTCTCCTGGACAAATCTTCACCAGAACCCACTAGAAATTTCATGACATAAATTTTAACTTTCAGCCCATAAATAGGCAAAATTCTTAGGAATTTGTTGCACCATTTCGTTTAATATGTTCCCTATTGGATTGGGATCTAGAAATTATTCTGGGCGCTGCAAACATGTCAATCTCGCTCGCTTCCAAGAAGCTCCTCTCTGTACTTTTTACATATTTTGGGTCATTGTCGACCAAAAAACGCCATTTAACTGAACTTTTGTCCACTAATTTTTTTAATAAAATATTTAAGTGTCTATTTTGATAGTCATACTGATCCATTTGTGCATCCACCTTGCGTATAGAACCTCCACTACGCCCGGAAAACGCCTCCGAATTCAGTCGTATTTCACCCATTGTGTTTTATGGTTTTAAATGTACACTTTGGTTGTTGCTGCATGTTTGGAGTACAGCATAGTTACATTTTTCCATCAAATTTGATCTGAAAAAAGCTAAAGTGTTCCAGATAAATCATATATCACAATGGGGGGAAATTTCATGGTATTCATTATTTTCTTGGCGTGCTGTTGGTCCTATATTGATGTTGGATGCAGAAGTGGATCCGTATGACTATCAAAATAGGATCTTAAATACTTTATTAAAAAAATCGGAGGACAAAGATGGCGTTTTTTGGTCGACATCGACCGTAAATATGCTAAAAGTGCTGAGATGAACTGCTTGGAAGCGAGCGGGATTGTCATGTTTGCAGTGCCCAGTATATTTTCTCGATTCCAATTCAATAGAGAACATATAACATGATATGGACCAACAAATAAAAGCAGAAATCACCAAGAATTTTGCCAATTTATGGCCTGAAAGTTAATATTTATGTCATGAAATTTCTAGAGGGTTCTGGTGAAGATTATGTCCAGGAGGAGGAATGATATTATCAAAATCTGCAACTATTCCACAAAATATAAAATTGTAAGTGCAATAAGATAAATATAGCCGGTTGTTTTGTTTTATTTTTAATGATTTTTTAATTTTGTGCTAAACTTATGTCCAGATTTTTTTGGGGGTAGATGTACTTTGGAAAGAAAAAAATCTATATGCAACAAAGTAGTGGAACAAAATGTAATGTGTCGTGATCCTCGAAGGACATGTGTTACGCATAAAAAAAAAATGTTAAAAAAGTTAAGAACTATAGGAAATATTTTATGTTATAGGCAACATATACCAAGTGTGCTAAAATCGTAGCCACCACTGTATATAGATGAATGAAGAAGAAAAGTAAATTTTATATTTCTATGTTTAATATCGTAAAAATATCAAAAAGTACCATCGGAAAAACGAAAAAGAACAAAAATCTCTCTCAATAAATTCTCATTTAATAAGAACCGTGTGTCACTATGTTAAAATTTATGTTCCTAGGTTGAATATTTTAGAAAATTCAAAAAGTGCCATTTATGAGATACAAAGTACTAAAAAGTAAATCGAAAAAGTTTTCTTAATGTGATAAAAAAGTACCAAAAATACAGTTTTCTCCCTATTACACTCAAAACGGACTGAATTTTAAAAAGGATGAAACAGGTGTCTCTTAATTTTGGAAAATATTTACAAAAATGTTATTTTGTTTATTGGTTAAAAAGTTATAAAGGGCCAAAAAAGGCACCAAAATCACATTTGATACATATTTTCATCCCTTAAAAGTACGAATTTCAAAAAAGTACCAGACACCCATCTGCTTATTTTAAGAGTAGATACAGGTGCATTTAAAATTTTTCTCGTATCACATATATTCGGTAAGATAATTAAGAAAACCTGTTTTACCCGTTTTTTCCCCTAAATGTACAAATATATATATATATATATATATATATATATATATATATATATATATATATATATATATATATATAATTTTGTCTGTTTTATGTCCATATCCCTATTTTTTGCCCCCTTCTCGATCAAATCTCGAAGAAACAATCCCTATTGGAGTTTCCAGACAAAGAATTTCAAGAAATTTTGAAGATTTTGGATTTTTCATATATATGGTAGCCCTTAACAATATTATAAAAAAATTCAAAATTCTCGCTCACTTACTGCCGGTTTCTCTAAATGCGACAGAACATTTTTGATTCTTACAAATATGTTGAAAACATAGCTGTAAAATAATGATTAATAATCGTAATCATTATTAATTACATTATTTTTATTAAAAAGGAAAAATCAATGATTAATTAACGATTATTTTCAATTTTTTTTAATTAATTATTGATTACGATTAAAAATAATCAGGGATTAATTGGAATTAATGAAAATAATCAAAAAAAAAAAAATCTAAATTAATCAAAAAATTAGTTGATTATTTTCAAGGATTAATTTTGATTAATTTTGATTATTTTCCATATATTTGGTATAATTTCCTCCAAAAAAAAACACAATTTTTTAAGACCATAACTTAATACCAAATTTTATATATCTTTTGAAATCGAATGTCCTTTAAATTTTAAGGTCCTTTTACAGGGGCATAAGAGCTGATTATGAAAAACTAAGTACACAGAGTTAATACTAATGGGCCATAGTTTCCTGTACATGTGAAAATGATTGTTGCACTTTAGATCTAGTCGCATGATTTTCATCATATCTTTAACGTAAAACAATTAGGGAAAAAGTGGGACACTTCTGTTAAACATAAGGAACTATGGCAATTTTCAACGGCATTCCAACACTTTTATAATATTTCAGTCCCAAATTAATAATTGTGATTGGAATATAATCTTAAGATTGACAAAACTTTGTCAATCAGTTATTAAAATCAATTCTCTAAATAAAATTTTTTAATTAATTAGGAAAATTAAAAATGTTTACACAAAGGTACTTTAGAAAAATATACTCTAGTTCTTGGACTCCAATATTTTAAAAATTTAAATGGGCTGTATTATTATTTACTTCAAAATTTAAGGAAATTAATCTTTGAATACAATCCAAATAAAAGTATTCGAAACCGGTTTTGAAAAAGTAAAAAACCGGGTTATAGGATATTCGAAAAATCAACATTTAGAAAAAACCGACACTGGTAAAGCAGAAAAAAAATCTAAATTTTTGATAAAATTTTCAGAGGTTGTCTCGGATTTTTGTTCATACGATTTTAAATAGGAATTTTCTCGAAAGTATGTCTGACAGAATTGTTGAAGATTTGGATCTCTGCGAGTTGTTTCTCTGTGAAATCACATGAAAAAGTGATTTTAGTCTTGAGGTTACAATATTGAGGGTAGTACAATAGGTGTGTTCGCTTACTCGATAATTTGTAACAATTTGTACTTTTGTTACTGGATTCTGTTAGCGTACTTTACAAAACTTGCAACGAAGAATATTTTATTTTACTGGATATTTTTTCTCCAGTAAAAGATATACTTAAAACATATGTTCACAACATATGGTTGATATTTGAAAATGTAAACAAACCAATCAAAACAAAAATTTTGTAAATTTTACATTTTTTTAAAGATAAAATAGAAATTAATAACACACGAATATTAAAAAATGATTTGTAATTGGATTTATTTTAAATTTATTTATCATAAATTAATACGCAAACACACCTAAGATTTTAGTTTGACGTGTTATAATAAAATATTTTTAATTTGTATTACAGTAGTTTTCGCTTATAGTCCACAATTACAGTTGCACAATTTTTGTGGACTATAAGCGAATTAGGACTATAACCGAATTTCTTTGACTATAACTGAACTGAAAATTTTATATGAAAAACAATAAGAAAAACTGAGTAGTTTTCATACAAAATTTTAAAAATGTTTTTTTTCTTTCTGAATTCGAGTACCTATGGATTAAAATTACCAAATTCTATATGAAATATAAATTGCGAATTGTGTAACATTTTTAAAAGAATTCTGTAATCTTCGATTGTTTCTTTTTTAAAGATTTTACAATAAATGACTCTATTTTTTTTTTTTTTTTTTTCAAAAAAATAAGTTTGCCAGTTTGTTTAAAAACAAGTATTAAAAAAACAGGGTGGACTATATGAAAAACAATAAGAAAAACTGAGTAGTTTTCATACAAAATTTTAAAAATGTTTTTTTTTTTCTTTCTGAATTCCAGTACCTATGGATTAAAATTACAAAATTCTATATGAAATATAAATTGCGAATTGTGTAACATTTTTAAAAGAATTCTGTAATCTTCGATAGTTTCTTTTTTAAAGATTTTACAATAAATGACTCTATTTTTTTTTCAAAAAAATAAGTTTGCCAGTTTGTTTAAAAACAACCCAGTAAACCAAACGATATTATAACGATATCGAAACGATATCACTTAGGTGATAAAATCTATCATAAGTGATACTCGTTCTCGTATCGAGAACGATAGTATTTACGTACAAAATTGTACCTTTCCTAATGATATCGTTTTTCCACAATTTTATGATATCGTTTTCGGTATTATAATTTCCAGTAATGACGATAGTAAAATCTCCATTTAAATATGGTTTTTGCATTTTTTATAACCGTCTATTAGTTTTATAATTAACCTACAAAACATTTTTGATAAATATTTGCATTCTTTTTATTTATACATATAAATATGTATATGTATATTTGTATTGTTTGTTTTTAAATAATATAATAAATAATAAATGTTAATTAACAATTAATGCGATTTAAATATAAGAAAGTGAAAAAACAAATAGTGAATAAAAATGCGCAAAAACAATTACTGTGATTAAAATTAAAGTAAATAGGGATTCGGTTATTTGAATAAATGGGTTTAATTAGCTTTCGATTTGTATTTTTCTATTTTGTTTAATCTATCGTTGGCATACAAAAAAAATTTTTTAGTTTTTTGGGCACAGGCATCTACAGATTCAGCTGGATACTTTTTCATGAAGGCATCTGAAAAGTATGTACATTTTTAATATGCAAATATATGAAAATTTTAGATAAATTAAAACCCACCTTTGATGGCAGCTGTACAAGACAACTCTTGTACAGATTTTTTTTGTTTTGTGCCAGTCCAGGAAAGATTTTTCGCCACAGAGTCCTTCATAAGGACTCTCCAGCATTTGAAAACAAATTCCATATGTGAACTTGCCGTAATTCTCCTAAAGTTGTTTGTCTGTAATAATATTAATAATAATAATAATAATCATAATAATAATAATAACAATAATAATAATGTTTACTTATATTACAACAATATTGAAAATACTATACTTACCAATATAGCGTATTTAGCTGGATCTTTTACGTCTGAATCGAATTCCATAAACTGTTTAAGATCCTCGAATGGAGTGTTGGGTAAAATGTTTAAATTTTTAGTTTCTAAATCACCTTGTAATTTTTTCATTCCATTCTTTGTTACAATAATTTCCTGTGTTAGTCTTCCCAATAAGTTTGTGTTGCTAGTAATTTTGACTTCGATATTGGAAAGTTTTTCTAAAACTATATCTAGTTTATCTGAAGATAAATGAGTAAAATTATATTGTCATATTTATAATATTTTTTTATTACCAATTTCTCACCTCTTTTATATGTACTATTTGTGGACTCAGGTTCTTCATTGTCCAGTAATATATTAAAATCGTGTGAACGCTTCATTGTCTTCTTAGTGGATAAATGGAATAAAAATAAATTGATTGTTAAAATGTAAACATAAACATTTTGTTACAGAAACAACATTTATTTTAGATATCTCATGTGAAAAATTTATAGAATTTGCCGAAAATATGTTGAAATATGATGATTTCATCGGTAGCTCAAAAAGGTCCCTTAAATTTAAAACTTCTTTTCCCATAAACATGTATTCGGATCCTTCTGCGATAATACTATCAATTTTAAATACTTTACTTTGAAATATAATGTAATTGTCCGGATGTTGAGTTGAAAAGTAGTAATTTTGTGTCTTCAAAAACGATAAAAATACATTGGTTTCAATTTTGTTGCCTTCAAAATTTCTTATGTTATATTTGCTTTTTTCTGCCATTCTGTTATATATTTGAGAGCCAATGAAGGATTTTTTATGGATAAATCTTTTAATTTCTTGTAGATAATTTTCAAATTCAAACGCATTAACGCTGTTTAATGAACCGAGCAATTTAGCATCATTAGCCAGATGTGTTAAGCAATGATAATTGTATGTTGTAAAATAACTATTGTAAAGCTGAGGTATTTCTTCAACAAAGGAATTTAATAGGTTCTCTGCTAGGGAATACTGTTGATCATTTTCACCCAATAATACCCTCATGGCCAAACTAAGCTTTAAAAAATGGATATATCTGTCAGCACTTAAAAATTTTGACATAATAGTTGGCCCAGTGTACAACAAAAATAACCTGTGTTCTGTTGCTTTCCAACGGTCCAATTCTTTTATGGTCCTTGACTTTCTATTAAATTCTCGTGGTATGTGGGAATTGATATTTAATAATTCTGAGTTTAAAATTAAAATGTTTGCTGAAGATAACGAATAATTTTGTTTCCTATCCTTACACCACGCTTTCAATAGAGATTTCATCACACCTAGGCATGTCACATGCATGTAATCGAAAGGGAATTTGTTTATTATGTCTATTGGGAGTGTTTCGAGAGCATTAGGGCTTAATACTGTGTGGTGTTCTGGAAAAGTTTTGTTACGGAAATCAAAATTAGTCCTATCTGGATACTTTTGATTATCAAATATCATTTTATGATTTATTACTTCGCCTTGAATTTGACATTTGTGACAACAGTAAAATCCTGAATGGGATTTTATATTGAGCACAAATGCTCTGGCGGGTGCGTCACAAATAAAATAGCCCACTGAAACTTTGTACACTTTGTTTTCAAACGTAAATCCCTCATAAATGAGAACCTTCAACTCCTCCACAAAAGCTTTTAGAAATTCCTGTGAATTTTTTGGTTTGGAATAACCCTCGAAACACCCCACAATAAAAATAACTTTTTTAACACTGCCTAAGATTGGCCATACTTGCAATCCCGAGCTTTTGGAAACGGGAAGACCATCAATATTAAAATTAATAGATATTTCCTCTTCACAAATTTTATTGTGTGAAAGATATTCATTAAGGAAACTAACTATCCCATAATGTATGTATGTTCCGCCTTCAATAGTTTCTTTATTGCAGATTCTTGGTGTTTCTTTCAATGTTCTGCAGTCTTTTGGTAAATTGGGTATACTATGTCTGATAATTTTTAACAGATCGTTTAGAGCAGCATTTGTTATGTTATGTTTGATAGACCACTGAGCTATTTGGTCACGTAAAGACTCCTGTTCTCTATCACTGCCCTCACTAAAACTATTGTTTGAATCGAAAGAATCAAATACATTCTCATTTTCCTCTTCTTCGACGGGAATTTCTATATCTGAACAATTTGAATATTCCGTATAATATTTGAAAATTGCACTACTTTCTCTTTTCCCCGCTACTCTAGGCATTTTCTTATTTCTAATCAATAAAAAATTGCGTACATACATATACAATTCATTTTTAATCTTCATACACATAAGATAAATATTGTTTTTGCAAAAATGAGATGATTACTTACCGTGTTTATTATTATTATTCAAAGCTTAATCACAATTAAAAATAACTATTATTAGATTAGCTTTTATCTATATTTCGCTTGAAAATGTTGAATTTAAATTATTTTTTTTTTGTTTGAAGTTTTTTTCAAATAATTATTGGAAACAAAAATATTTAAAAACGATATTATAATAATATCGTTTTCAATGTTAAAATATGATATCATAATCGCCTTTATAAACTAATACCGTTTTCGCTATCATATCGTTCTTTGGTTTATTGGGAAGTATTAAAAAAACAGGGTGGACTATATGAAATATTTTTTCTATACAATATTAGTCATGATAAAAATATTAAGGTAGTGTCATTCCTCTCTCTCAAAAAAACTTTTTGAAGTTTGCTGGTATTTTTTGAAATTCGTATTTTGTAAATAAATAGAACATCGTTGCCACATATGAAAAAGGGAAAAATAGTTTCTAAGAAATTTGTGTTGTGATTGTGGAATTTATGTTAATAATTTTCAAAATAATTTAGATCCAGTGGTAACTGTTGTCGAGCTGTCCCGATTAAAAAAAGGTATTGTTTTAGTTTGTTATTTAAATTGTATACAATGTAGATTATCATTTGAAAGGGGTTTGAAGCAATGTATAATTGTGTCCTTAGGTTTAGGTTAAGAAGGTTTATGTGCTATAAAAAGGACAACATCCACTCGGAGACCATAAGGTTCATTGTAATTCCCTTCAAAGAGACTGAAGATCCAAAGACAGAGAAACAAGAACACTAAAAGAAAACAAGAATGATATAAAATATATAAAAAGGAATGATTCTGTGTCCTAGGATAGTGGCAAATTATATGCTCGATGACTCTAATTCCTACCCGTTGGAATGCGTTTACCCAGTCCTATAAGTATCTTGGTAGCCTTCACATCAAGTTCTGTCCCTAAGGCCTTTTATATTTTGCAATCCAATCTACTATTCCAGGACTGCTTAATGATGTCACTCATTCCCTCGAATATTAACATGTAATAATCGTGTCCATATTAGACAATAAACTGGAAGCAAAGTACTTAAAGATTTCGTGAATGTTAAATTTTTTCACTTGAAGAAAACCGTGTATTCTTGGACCGGATGGAGCACTAATTGCAATTGCTTGATACGGACAGCAAGAGACATTCAATTTGATATAGGACTTAACAGGAAGTTTATAGTTTTAATTGAATTTTTTGTACATTTATTTAAATTTTTATTGATTTTTTTTATTACATTTGTACATTTTGATTTTTAGTTTAGTTTAAATTGAATTTTATTTTTGATTTTGATTAAAAAATAAACAAACAAAAAATGGGATTTTCAAAGTAAATGTGGTAACTCCATTTATTAAAATACCAGTAAACGTCAGATGGTTAATATGGCGACAAAAAGAGAGAATGACACTACCTTGATATTTTTACCATGATATTAGTTATGAATGCAAAGAAAATTGCCTTTAAACGAAAACTGAGGTAGGTAGGTAAAAAACCTGCAAGTGAATAGGGTTGTTTTGGCTTACATCTTTAAGCCTTTAAGCAGAATGGACTATAAGCAAAAAGTACTGTACTTAGGGCCAGCAAAGCGGACAGGGCAGAGCTAGTAGATAATAAAGGATAACAATTTTATAATGTATTGACATCTTTTTATCCAGAAATAATACAAAATATTTCCCAACTATTCTTGTTCTGTTGACATCAAATTTGAGCAGTAGAAATATTTTAAAATATTTTTTGAAAAAATTTTAAGTGCTTTAAAATGAACACCGGATCACGAAATAAAAAACTAAAAACGAAGTTTTTCTTCATTAAATTTATAGTTTCAGTCGTACATACTACATATGTACATATATAATCCGGTTTCTGTCTAACAAATTTTTTCTCTTTTTGTCGAACAGATGGTATGAAGGCTAGGTGCCTTCATACAATTGTGCCTAACTTTGCTTAAATGATAGAAATTTGAACTGAAACCTTTTTTTCCCAAAACACAAAAATTCAAGATCATGGACATTTTTTCTAGAAAATTTTAAAAAATTAAATTAAAATTATGTACCTTCAAATATTATTTTAAAATATTTCATAATTTTCTAGAAAAAAATTATTAAAGTTACAGTTTCGATGTTAAATTAAGTGCCACTTTGCTATCACAAACTCGAAATTTTCTAGCGTCGAGCATTTTTAAAAGCATTAAAATCAGTGCTAAAAGCACTGAGTTGACAACACTGACCCATCGTGTGACCTCAAATGTAAATTACACGGTATACTTAACCGTTATGTCAATACCCACATACCCGGGTATGTTTTTCATCATTGTATCGTATAAATTTAATTAAACAACAAATTTAGTTTCAAATACAGAGTCATGTGTCTTTATTCATAAATAAATAATTGTGATATATTTGTGGACCCTGTAACATTAGCAAATATGGGCCGATTTTGATGAAATAATTTTTTTTGTTGTATATGATTTAGTAAAGTAAAATTATGCAGATTATAATAATTTTATTCTCATTTATGTAAACAAAAATATTTAAGTTTAAATTTTAAAATTTTAATTTTGACCATGACTTAGCAATCTTTTTTTGCAAAAAAGTTCACTACTTACGAAAGCAAAAACAATTTCATTAATGCTAATCGATTTTATACACCTTAATAAATAATATATATAATATTTGTTCAATTATCTTTCCCGGTCACAGAGTAATAGCTTCTTGAAGTCAAAATTTTACAAAGTCAAATTCTGCATAATGTACATTATACGTTATGAAGGCGTTTTTCTTTAGGTTTTTTGCATATGACATTTTTGTTAATAGGAAAGCAATAAGAAAACTTTTAAAAAATTGCTAATATTTAATGGTTTATGATCAAAAACTATTTAATTTATATATACAGACGTTTTATTAAAATAGTTTTAATAATTATCTGAATTATACACTAGAAATGTATAAAAAGATGAAATGGCCATATAAATTGTATGACATACCCGGGTATGTTGGGTATTGATGTACGTAATTTTGCTCGGGTATAGACAAGACGGTTAACAAGGTACCATCACTTGGGAGCAACCGCACGATTGTCAAATTTTTTTATATGGAGTTTGACAAACGTGCTGTTTAAGCCTGCATACAAGTCTATGCATAAAAAATTGTAAACAATGATCAGCTGGGCTAGCGATGTCACCTTGTATTCAGTACACCCTGGTAAATTATACAACGTTTTTCACATGGCGGAAATAATAAGTTGAAGTCATTTCAACAGCAGATTGTTTTTTTACGGTTGGAATTTCATTATACTTTTTCATTAGACTTTACGTGTCTAAAATTTACCAAATATTTTTGCTTATTTCTCTAAAAAATAATAAAAATATTTATGTATAATTGTAGAAAAATATTAAATTTTTTAACAGATAATATTTTTTATTTAAAACTGCTTTATAATAACTTTTAAAATTTTATCCATAAATAAATAAACAAATGTAGACAATACTGTTTCTTATAATTCTCTTTCATTTCTTTCTATATTTGTTTTAGATACTTTTAGTTACGTAGAAGTGGGTAATGAAACTACAGAAAATAAAATTATAACCGTACTAAATTCAACTATGACGAATTTTATATACCCTTCTCCATAGTATATTTATTACATACATACATACATACATACAAACATACATACATACATACATTCATACATACATACATACATACATACATACATACATACATACATACATACATACATACATACATACATACATACATACATACATACATACATACATACATACATACATACATACATACATACATACATACATACATACATACATACATACATAAATATGTCATGTTTCAAAGCCCTCTTTTAGCTTTTGGCACTCAATGGGTTAATAATTCATATAATATTGTACATCATCTGAAAGGCCTTTCCATGACCTTTCGTATCATATTATAGAGCAAGTGATTTTTAACTTTATATATACAGTTTTGAACGTCTATAACTCCATAACTATAAGAGAGCAAACCAAAAAAATAGTAACGATACTCCGTATTAAAAGTACTATCATCAATGGAATAAAATTAAAATATTTTCTTTAACATTGGAAAAATCACGATTTTTCGGAATTTTACTCATATCTCCGTTATATATGAACGTTTGATATTATATTGTGGAAATTACAAACGGATTGACAAACTTATGTGTACACTTCTCACGAAGATGAAGGGTACAATAACAACAATAGTTAATTGTAAGCAAGTTCATTCCAAATTTAATTGGTAATTTATTCGTCATTCAGTGAGTTATAGCAGTTTTTGTTTAGTGGTGTGTGTGTACATACATATATACTTATTTTAATTTGTTTTTTTAAATTAAATTCTAATTGAATTGAAACAATAATGTTAAAATACCAATAGATTGACTAATCGATAGATCGTATATCATATCTTAGAGTTTCTTTTAATTTTTTTAATACACAGTTCAACAACCAACTTTAATAAATACAATGAATAGTGAAGGAGCCACGGCAAATTTGACAGCTTTAACGTGGGCTCATGCAGTTAATAGTCAGCAGCAGTTAACAGATGCTTTAAATAGTAAGTAAAAATAACAATAACACCAGGATGCACTCATAAGGTGAAGTCAATTCTACAGAAACAACAAAATTAGATACTTACATATGTCAAAAAATATACATGTTGCCAATGTGCTTTTTTTTAATTTACCTTATAAAAATAAAATCCCACATGCCCAAAAATTTATCCACGTGAAATAAATATGTATAAGATACAATTTATTAAATATTTTATATGAATTGAAAAAATTCTACCAGTATAATAAGAATATAATTTTAAATTATAGCTTATTAAAAAATTAATTAATTGTGCTTAGCTGAAATAAAAACATGAGTGGTCAGCTGTCGAATTGACTTCACCTTATGAGTGCATCCTGATCAACACAACACAGTAACAAGGTGAATACACTATAAGGTGAAGTCATTTCATTTTGCGGCGAATTCATGAAATTTTTTATATATGCAGTTTGAGAGCGTCGGGTTTGAGAGAGAATTTTTCTTTATATGGAGTCATGGCGAAACTAATAAGGTGAAGTCATTTCAACAGCTGATTGTTTTTTTGTCCATGGAAATTTAGCCCGAAGTTGTCAAACTCAATATAAAAAAAATTCTCTCTCAAACCCGACGCTGTCAAACTACATATATAAAAAATTTCATGAATTCGCCGCAAAATGAAATGACTTCACCTTATAGTCTATTCGCCTTGATATGGAGTTTGACAACTTCGGGCTAAATTTCCATGAACAAAAAAACAATCAGCTGTTGAAATGACTTCACCTTAGTTTGTTTGTAGATTTTATTTGATTCCGACTTAAGAAGCAAAAAAAGAACTTCCAAAGAAGCGAAAAAGAAGTAGAATTTACTCCATTGAAGTACTGAAAAAGACCTGAAGAAGTGATGATTTTAACACAGGCTTGTCATAGGAGGAATGTCCTTTTTATTTGATTCCAAATTCACTACTTCTGAAGTCATTCTCAAGAAGAAGTTTTAAAGCTTTTTTTCGAAGTTTTTTGGAAGTGAAATTGTAGTATTATAGAATACAACTAATTTGACTTAAATAATATTAACATTAATTAGGGTAACAGACACATTTAATACAAAAGCCCAAATATAAAATTTTTTATCTCATAAAAATGTAAGAACAAAAATATATCTTCAACATTGAAATAAAATATAATTATTTTCGCTTCTTCGAAAGTCTTTAAACATAACTTCCTCAAAAGGTAAAAAAATTCAATGAGTGCTACTTTTGAAGTGGTGATAAATGTTATTCTTTTGGAAGTACTTTGATTTATTTTTGCTGGGTATTTGACGCGCAAAAAAAAGCGCAGAAGTGGTGCAGTGAGTAGAACATTTGATTAACAAACAGAAGTTCCTGGTCCGTATTCTCGCTGGCTCTTTTTATTATTAAAAATAAAGCAACTCACTCAACAACTTCTTCGTAAGCGAATTTGCACTATTTGTAACTCACTATTTGTAAGCGATCGGAGAAGTACTTGTTACTTTCTGTTTTACTTTTTTTGGCTTGAATATTTTTATCGAGTAAAAAGTAGTAAAACAAAATTTGTTAAGTTCAATTGATTTAAATTATTCAATATAATGACAATGAAACAAAATTGGGGCATTTCAAAAATTTAAAACAGTTTTTGTACCTTTTCAGATTACGATGAAACTTGGTACACACATATATCTATATATATAAAAATGAATGTGTGTTTGTTTGTATGTTTGTATGTTTGTATGTTTGAACGTTATAGACTACTAAACGGCTGAACCGATTTTATTCAAATTTTCACAGCATATTCCTGCATGTCTGGAATAGGTAATAGGCTACTTTTTATTTCGAAATTTCAAGTGGGCGATGAGCCACGCCCACATTAAGAAAATATAAAATCCGTATATTTTAGATAATATAACAGTTAGAGTCCTCAAATTTTGTCGGAGCCACTTTAGTGTCAATATGATCATTTAGGACAAAAAGTAGGCGGACTAGCATTAGGGGGCGTGGTACCTCCCATATAAATTAAATACAAAAATTCGTTTATCTGGGAAACTAATAGAACTAAATTCTTAAAATTTAGCACGAAGAACTTTAACATCCATATAAACATTTTGGGTAATAAATTGGCGGACTACCCATGAGGGGAGCGGCACCTCCCATATTAATTAAATACAAAAATTCGTTTATCTGGGAAACTAATAGAACTAAATTCTTAAAATTTTGCACAAAGAACTTTAACATCCATATAAACATTTTGGGTAAAAAATTGGCGGACTACCCATGAGGGGAGCGGCACCTCCCATATTAATTAAAAACAAAAATTCGTTTATCTGGGAAACTAATAGAACTAAATTCTTAAAATTTTGCACGAAGAACTTTAATATTCATCTGAACATTTTTAAGGAAAAAAGAGCGGACTTTCATCTGGGGGGCTTGGAGCCCCCATATGAATAAAATAGAAAAATTCGTATATCTGAGAAACAATTAGAGCTAGAATCATTAAATTTTACTTGAAGAACTTTGACATTCACCTGAACATTTAGAATATAACGGGCGGACTTCCAATGGGTTACTTGGTACCTCCCATATGAATTAAATACAAAATTTCGTTTAACTGGGAAACTAATAGAACTAGATTCTTCAAATTTTGAACAAATTATTTTAATAATCATCTGAATATTTTGGAGGAAAAAGGGCGGACTTTCATCCGGGGGGCTTGAAGCCCCCACATGAATTAAATTCGTATATCTGAGAAACTATTAGAGCTAGAATCTTAAAATTTTACATGAAGAACTTTGACATTCATGTGAACATTTAGAGAATAACGGGCGGACTTTCAATGGGGGGCTTGGCACCACATATATGAATTAAATACAAAATTTCGTGCATCTTGGAAACTCTTATATTATTCAAATTTTTTGTAGATAGATAGAAATTGGCGATAGATAGAAACTGGCGAACTTGCAATAATTTGCTTGACATCTTTTATATGTAACATATAATAAATCTGGTATTTATTTATACATATTCCTTTTAGGGTAGCAAAGCACACTGGGTATAGCTAGTATATATATAAAAATGAATGTGTGTTTGTATGTTTGAACGTTATAGACTACTAAACGGCTGAACCGATTTTATTCAAATTTTCACAGCGTATTCCTGTATGTCTGGAATAGGTAATAGGCTACTTTTTATTTTGAAATTCCAAGTGGGCGAGGAGCCACGCCCATATTAAGAAAATATTAAATCCGTATATTTGAGACAATATAACAGTTAGAGTTCTCAAATTTTGTCGGAGCAACTTTAGTGTCAATATAATTATTTAGGACAAAAAGTAGGCGGACTAACATTAGGGGCGTGGCACCTCCCATATAAATTAAATACAAAAATTCGTGTATCTTGAAAACTATTACAGTTAGAATCTTCAAATTTTGCACGAATAACTTTAAAATCCATCTAAACATTTTGGGTAATAAATTGGCGGACTACTCCCATATTAATTAAAGACAAAAATTCGTTTATCTGGAAAACTAAAGGAACTAAATTCTTCAAATTTTGCACGAAGAACTTAAATATTCATCTGAACATTTTGGAGGGAAAAGCGGACTTTCAGCTTGAACCCCCATATGAATCAAATAGAAAAATTCGTAGAGCTAGAAATGAAGAATATTGACATTCATCTGAACATTTAGAGTATAACGGGCGGACTTTCAATGGGAAACTTGGCACCTCCCATATGAATTAAATATAAAATTCGTTTATCTGGGAAACTAATAGAACTTGATTCTTAAAATTTTGCACAAATTAGTATAGTATTCATGTGAACATTTTGGACTTTCATGTGGGGGCTTTAACCCCACAAATAGAAAAATTTTTATATCTGAGAAACTATTAGAGCTAGAATCTTCAAATTTTACATGAAGAACTTTGAAATTCATGTGAACATTTACAGCATAACGGGCGGACTTTCAATGGGTGGCTTGGCACAACATATACATATAAATTAAATACAAAATTTCGTGCATCTTGGAAAATCTTCTATTATTCAAATTTTTTATAGATAGATATAGAATACAATCATATGTAACATATTATAAATCTGGAAAACTATTGTGGCTAGAATCTTCAAAATCGTTAAGTGGGATTTTTATTTATACATATTCCTTTTAGGGTAGCAAGGTACACTGGGTATAGCTAGTTCCTTCTATAAAAACGAAGTTTAAAGTTATCCAAAATAGATAAGTTAATGAAATTTGGTACATACTCTTCATTTGACCCAAGGACAAACGCTATTGAAAATGATTGAAATCGATCCATTATTTCGCCTAGCCCCCATACAACCGTAACCCCTTAAGTCCGATGGCAAAAACCTAACTGGTGAGAATGTTTAGTAGAAGCACAAAAATAAACACAGTTGTTCCAAAGGTACTAAATAAATGTATTTTTCATACGTTATTTTTTGTATGTTATTACTGGCATTTCATATACTAGTAAATGAAAATATTAGTTATTTAATTTTTTCAGAAGATATTTCATTTTAAAACATATAAACATGTCTTTATGTTATTTTTTTCTTTATTAATGGAAAAAGAAAAAAGTATGTGAAATACTTTTTTCATTTTCAATACGAAATTTTACAACTTTTCTTTTTTCAGTTTAAATTAAAATGAAATGTCAAAGAATTAAAAATAATTTTTTTTTTCGCTTGTAAAATATAAATTATTTTCGGAGAATAAAAGTATGCAAAAAAATAATAAATATTAAGTTTAAGTGATTAGAAAAACTATTAAGTGCTAATATCCTCGCAATTTCGCGAAGAAAATTTGAAGTTTTGTGAGTGCGTTTAGTTCTCTCAAGTGTGTTTTATTCTCTCAGAAATCGTCTGTGTGAAGAGAATAACAAATTTTGTTTGACAGCCCCTTCAGTTTCGCCTATATCCCTACTATATGCTCTCTGGTGTAGGGTATCATATGTTCGGCCATGCCTACGGTGACCAGACGTTCTGTATTATACAGAACAGCACTGTATTTTAGAGTCCTGTTCTGTATAAATTATTCTTTGCTAAAAAACGTGAAAATGTTCTGTATTTTATTTAGTGTTCTGTATTTGTTCAGTATTTCGTTATTTTTCAGTTTTACATAAAAACGCATAAGAAATACGAAAATGTTAAAAAATTCTGACACAAATGTAGATAATACAGTTTTTTTTTCAGCTATGTATAAACATTTAGTATTTGCATTCTTTTTGTACTTTATCAATTAATAAATTTTTATTTTTCTAAAACAGAAAAATTAATACAATGGAATGAATTTTGTAATAAATTGTATGAATCGAACATGACTTTTTTCCCAAACCATTTTCATTCAGAATATTAAAAGTTCATAAAATATATAAAATGTTGAAAATATATAAAATGTTGAAAAACAAAATCTAAAACAGGAAATCATCAGCAAACATAGTTAACATCCATTCTTCAAAAAGACTTCAAATTACGCGCAAATTTCATCTATTTTAATCTAAAAATCATAATGAAATAAACAATTTTCCAAAGAAAATTTCAAACATTTTTTAACAAATAGAAAAATAAAAATAAATTTGAAATATTTTAAGTTTAAAAAAACAAAAATTAAAAAATTCATACCATTTGGGAACTTATTCTTAAATAAACAATAAAAAATTCAAGCAGTTATAATATTTATGATGAAACTTTTTTCTGTGAACAATCAATAAAATAATGTTTAAAACTTTATTGACAATTGAAATTCTGATTTAGAAAATGGTGTTCAGTGTAGTTTATTTTCTTCTGTTCTGTATTTTGCTGAAAAAATGTGATCACCGTAGCCATGCCCGACTATACATTAATACTTGTTTTTTTTTTATATTTCTCTTGTTTTACAACTTTTACTATGAAACAACAAACAAACCTATTATTTTTTTAGGTGATATTGACTTTATAGAAGCTGACGTTGTGATGGGTAAAATTTGCGACACTGGGACAGACTTACCTATAATGGCTCATCCACCAGCGAAAACTTCAAATTTATCATTGGATTCTTTTCTATTGCAAGTAAAAAATCACAATGACAATCATATCAAAAATATGAAGGGTGTTAAACTGGATTTTAAATCTATAGCAGTTTTTCAAGGAGCTTTGCCAACTTTGAAGGAAAAAATACCGGAGGTATGAATAAAAAGTAATAACGAAACAATTTTAGAACTTTTGTGTTATAAGTATGTATGTATATGTACGTACGCATAATTAAAAGGCATAACCAATTTCGAACAGCACAATCAATGCCTCTATAAAAATTTGTTCCGTAAATTCGTCGATTAAAACACAAGTGAATTTTACTCACTGGGAATTACTTTTTCGAATCATTGCTTTTCTCTTTTTTCACTTCATATTGGATCACAAACAAATATAAGAACACACATAGATAATACACGTCCGGGATGGCAAATGATATTTTTAAATTGTACAAAACAACATTTAAAAGTGTACTTTTTTGAATAAGATTGTATCAAATCTATGTACATATATGTATGTACATATTATTGCAAATTTATATCAATATAAAACAAAAGCATTTCAAGCCGACTTCTTCAGTCAGTAAACTAATATATATTACACTAGTCCAAAGACTAATTCATAGAATAGAAAAGCGGACGGATAAAAAATAATACTAAAAAGTAACTTTAACGCTCACTACATGATTTGAATTATTATATTTTCAAATACAATTTTTTATTCACACATTTGAATGAAAAAATATGGTTTTGAACAAAGTATAACAAGTAGTCCGACTCTTTGTTTGAATTTTCAATACCAAAAATTTAAACTCTGTTTGTAAAATAAGATTCAACAACAACAAAAATGAAATGTCAATAATTAAACAAAAAATTTTTTCCAGTTCAGTGCGTTAAAACTATTTTAAAAAATTACAGTTTTTTTGTGGATAACTGCAATTTCGCGTACGATCCTTGAAAGTGGCCAAAAAAAAGTAAGTTAAACATTTGAGTATTTTGACAAGTTTAAATTTCTCACAAGAGAGTCGAATTCACACGGCACTCGTAGATGTGAGTGAGTAATTTCCTATATGTGAATATAATCAGAACGTTATGATTGAACTTAAGGCCCAACTATAATGTGCATAAGCTTGCTTAAGGTAATGTAAAAATCGAACGAAAAGTCTCTCAAATGCTTAAGAAAATCCGAGGAAACTTTTAGGTGACTATAATGTACTTACGTGCATTCAAATCTTAAGTACATTATAGTTTGTCATATACATTTTATATGTGTTCGCACAGTTGCTTAAGCTGACTTCAGTTTGTTTAAGCATATTAGTTAGACCTTTATTAATGTGAATTTAAGATATATTGACATGAAAACACTACTTTTAAAAAATGTCAAATTACCAATATTAAGTGTTGGAGCAAATTTGTAAAGATTTGTATACATTATCAACGTAGTGCAAAGATATACTTCAATATTACCCAAATTATTGCCAATTATAAGCAATATAGAGTTATTTTTGCAATTTAAGAGTCAAAATGTTTAAAAAATGTTGCAGCAGAAGAGAAAGGACATTACATACTATGAATGGGATTACTAAAGATGTCTAACGAATTTCATACCTCTATGGTTTCATAAGGCTCCCAAAGTTTTTCATAAATACTTGAGCAATAAATCACACACATTGATTATTGTCTTTTTGAGTTTTATTTCTAATCAAAAAAATAATTTTTGAGTCGATCACGATCTGGTGTATTTTTGCAATTATATTTATGCAATTGTAAATACCCAGCTGAGTCATTTTTGACTCCTTTTGATGACCTAAAGTGATTAATAAGTTGAGCGCTTAAAAATGACTCGAAAATGATCCTGAATATTTTAAAAGCAATAACAAAATGTATAGCAATCATAAATTTATCATCCTGGTGTTTAAAATATGATGGTTTTAAAAATTTATTTTGTGGACATATTTCAAGCAGTTGGAAGATCTAAAATTGTTCCTTATGTAGATGTTTTTGTTTGTAATGAAACAGCAACACTTGCACTTAAAAATGACTCAAAAAGGATTCAAAAATGAGTCGAAACTGATTAGAAATGGGGCTCAGAAAATACTCTTTTGGAAGAGTTAGCAAAACATTATGTGTGGCCTAAAATGAGTTGATATAATTCTCATTTTGTTTATAAAATTAAATGTATAAGTATTTGAATTTGTGTGATATTTATAAAATCGATTTTTTCTCAAGGAAATTGAAATTATATTATGATTTAATTATAATAATTTTCTGTGTTTAATGATCTTCTACGAAAGATAGTTGGGCGACTAAACACTAAACTAAGTCTAAATAATCAAATTAATGTTTGAAATCTCAATTATTTGAAAAACAATAACAAAATGTTTACCAATCATAAGTAGGTCATCCAGGTGTTTGAAATATGATTGTTTATAAATTTAGTTTGTAGTTATATTTTCTGTTGTATTGTATTTGTCTGCAACAAACATAAAAATTACTCCAAAAAGACTCAAAAATGACTATAATATGATTCGGAAATAACTCAAACAACGACCAGTTTATTTGGCTCATTAATGACTCAAAAAAGATTAAAAAATGAGTCATAATTGATCAGAAGTGGGGCTCATAAATGACTCATTGAAAAGAGTCGCGGGTATGGTACCATCTTCCTCACCGACGAATGATATCAGTTATGATCTGAAAATGAGCCGCATATATGATCATTTAATCGTGCAGAAGAGTCTACAGCTGGGATTTGCTATTAATGTTTGTTCTAGATAACGTGTGAGTAGTTTGAGTTAAAATTTTACTTGTATTTTGTTTTTGTTAACAAATAAAAAATACAAGTAAAATTTGTGCTCAAACTACTCGCTCGTTATCTAGAAACAACACATAATTGTGCTATTTACTCTACAATACATACCTACATACATACATACATACAGACCATACATTACATACAGTACATACATACAGTACAGATACATACAACATATCATACAGACATAATACATAATACATACATCCATACTACATACATTACATACATACATACATACATACATACATAACTACATACATACATACATACAGACATAAACATACATACATACATACATACTACATACATACATACATATACATACCATACATACATACATACATACATACATACATACATACATACATACATACATACATCATACATACATCATACATACATATGTATATGGATTTACGTATGTATGTACATTAGGGTGTCCCGTGGAAACTTTTTATTAGGAATACCTCTAAAACGATGCGTTTCAATGTACTAAATGCGAATTGAAAATCTTGATCTCAGTGCAACATGTTCAAAAATTTTTTTTCTTTTCGAATTGGGTGTCACAAAATTCCGTAATTTTGAGCTTATCGCGGGAAAACTAATTAAAATTTAGTTAGAGTATTTCAGGTCCGCAAAACGACTTTTATTGTATTATATACAATCTCAAACGGAATAAACCAAATAAAAAACAGAATGAGCTTAAAATTACGACAATTAAAATGGGTGTCAACCCATTACGATAAATTGCGAAAACAATATGCCTCTAGAGCCCATTAAAAATAATTTTGTGGACCAAAAATGTTCTACAAAAGTTTTAAAATTATTTTTCCTCTAATCAGCTCAAAATTACGGAATTTTTGAGACCCATTTCGAAAATATCGAAAATAATTTATTTTTCAAATATTATACGCATCGATTGAGTGGTATCCCTACATGATATTCTTAAAGAGGCTGTTCCTCGGGACACTCTAATGTACATACATTCATTTATTTATTTATTTTTCATTCAGATTTATTTATTGGATTTATTTATTTTTCATTCAGATGACCTATCCTATTTGGCTTAATGCCGATATTATCAAAGGCCCTGTCAATCAAACAATGATCACACCTGTAGATCCAGAACAATTTTTTGCGGGTTGTGCTCAATTTAAAAATGCTGTTTTATCTATTGGCTGGACAACTAAATGGACAACAACTTTCAACAATGGTTCCTACTCACGTGAAGAGACTAATGATATGCTGAAGACTATAAAAAGTAGTATTGTTACTAAGACGGGACAACATATAACATTTCCTGTACGTGCTGGTATAGCAGCAAATAGTTTAATTGAATTGCATGATTTGGTAAATTCTGTAAATGAGACTAATGAATGTACCTTAACTATATGGTCGTCCGAAAATGATTTTGTAAATATTGACAAATTGAGAAAATTTATATTTTCCTTTGGTTTTGATCGTGTTTATTTGGATGTACCTATAGAGTTATCCATCCAGTTAGATTTGTCACGTCATGACAATTTGAATGATGATAAGGTTAGCAAAAAGTCTTTATAAGCTAAGCTTCTATACCTGTTAACAAAAAATTTATATTAAAATGTTTTTAGAATAAAAAATGTTTCTACCTATATAAAAATACATTAATAAGCTAAAAAGTATGCAATTAAATGCGATTTTCGCAGAAAAGGAGTGTAAAAATTAATAACAAAATTTTTGTGTAAACACTTGTGTTACCCTATTGTATGTATATACAATAAATACCCAGTAAACAATTTTTTCAGACATGTCTGATGTCAATTTTTAATGAATGTCTAATTTTCCCTTATAGTACAGGGCCAATATACGCGGCATGCGGCTTCAAGCGGCAACAGCATTACCAGCTTTAATAAAATTTATGTATTTACAAAATTGCCCATATAAAAATATTTACACAATAGGAATATTTTGATTTGGCAATGCGGTAAAAAGTTGAATATTGTTCAACTTTTCCGTACAGCCGCTTGAAAATCAATTGTCATACAATTTTTTTATTTTAACATTTTAAAAATTAACAAAAAGGAAAAAATAAAAAATGTTAATACAAAAATCGTTTAAAAAAACAAATAAAAAATTATATTGAAATTAATTTGTGTTATTTTTAAATTGAAATGTGATTCATTTATATATTTTTGTGCTCAACAGATTAAATTTATTTTTAGATTAACTAATCTGATTATTAATTGTCGTTTGATTGCCAACTCTAAAAACCCCTCTTAGACATTTAACAGTATAAACGGCAAATTTTATATTACATTTTTCTGTACTTTTTCTGAAGCATTAAACGATTAAAATCCGACTCGTCTGCACATTGTCGAAAGGAAATTTCTGTGTTACGACAATTATGAGACTACTCTGCTACTACGTGTATTTCAAATTTCATCGAATTATCTTGAAAATTGCGACCTGAAAGTGATTCTGAGTTGATCGAAAGTGATTCTGAGTTGATCGGTATACTTTAAGGTGTGTATAGTACTAATATTTTAATGCGTTACAAACATCAGCACAAACGCATAATACCCTTCCCACTATAGTGGTGTAGGGTATAAATAGGAGAAAAGTTACACTCATTTGAATAAAAACCTGTATGACCAAAATGTCTAACTTTGACTCTCCGGCAGTTCTTGACCGATAGAGCTGAAATTTGTGTCTGAGCTATTATCCAATATTGCAAATTTCGTCGAAATCGATTTTTTGAGTTAGATCACTTGACATGAAATTCCCCATATGTATATTAAATAGGGCGATAAACCACCACTGGCGATTGGTATCATCGAAAAGAAAGTTTTAGTTACAAAGTGCTTTAATTCATTCATTAATATTGTGATGTAAATATTAATATTTATTGAGCCTTTCTTTCAACATACATATGTACATAAGAACACTTAAGACTATAATGTATTATCCTTATTTACAACAATATATTTAAGCATCATGCTTTTACAATAATTTAAGTATTAAAACTATTAATTGAGATGAATGTAAAAGTATATATGCTCTTGCTCCCGAAGCTAACATTTTAAAGGAGGAAAACACTTCAAATAAACTTAAATTTACGTTAAATATAAAAAATAAATAGAAATATAAAATAAAAGTAAACACAAAATTCTGCTAATAGGTACCTCTATGAGTACCCGGAGTTCTCCTTAAAAAAACAATGATTTACGTTAATATTCAAATCAAAGTTCTGTGTTTCCTCATTAAAACCTTCGAAATAACGTCGGAATTTCAATTTGACAATTGGAAATCTAATGTAAATTTTTTGGGAAATTCTAAAGGAATTCTCGACAAATCTGATTGAAGTCGGACAAATGTCGGATACCATGTCTGACAATCTTTCGACAGTTCGTACAAAAGTCTAACCAAATATAAGAAAGTCTTATAGATGTCTTGTAAAATGTCCGACATTTCGTAAAAAAGTCTGATCAGGTATAAGAAAATGGCCCGAATATTCTGATCAACGTCCGATAATTTATTATGGTTTACCTCCATTTTCACAATGTATAGTTATTTTTTAACTTTAAAATATATTGACAGTTCTCATACAAAAATTGTCTTAACTGGAAGAATAACTACCAGTTAAACGATAACTGGAGGTGGTGAAATTGGGGGTTAATTTTATAATAATTTATAAGCTTTAACAATAATCATCACATATCGTCACCTGAAATGCAAAAGGGCATAACAACTCTTTTAAACATTTTACAGGAGATACAAAAATCTACATACCATGAAAGGTATTGTTGTTATAAAGACGATATTTTCTTACAAGTATTGCATCCAAACATCGATAAACACCTTTGAATATAACTGTACCGCCAGAAATGATACAACCATAGAAAGGTAGAATCATTAGGGAGAGTTGTCAATTCTCTGCCTTGTTAAGTAAAACAAAAAAGAACAATAAAGAGAAAAACCTAAAAATCTTAAGATGAAAACCACGAAAAATACCATGAAAAATTATTCTTGAACTGCACACGCAAACAGCGTTCCACACTTCTGTACCCCGTTTTTGTTTTATATTGGTTTTTCGATCTATTTGGTTCAAATTATTTAATTTTAATTTCTTCATAAAAAAATTTTCAATAATTTTTATTTGATGTCTTTCTTTATATTTTTTAATTTTCTTTTTTATGACAATTCAAGGCATGTAAAATTGAGAACGTACTTTTCTACTGATTCTACCTTATGGTTTTGACTAAATTTCATTTAAAAGATGTGTAAATTTGAGCCCATTCTTCATTAATCTTCACCTAATGCTTTTTCAGATTATGAGGCACCGGAAATTTTATTTTATATTTTTGCATATTTCTTAAGGGCTTAAAAAACTATTGAATAAATAAATAAATAAATAAATATTTCCGTTTTTTCCGCCTTGTTGATTGTTAGGATCAATATATAAATCTTGTACTTTAGGTCACCGTTCTGAAGATCACTAAAAGATTTCTGGAATTGCAGGTAACAACAACTTGTATTGTCTACATAGTGGATTGTTTTAAAATTTCCCTCTATTTTTCATAACTATTGATTTGGCGTTGGTTTCATAGAAAAAAAGTTAAGAATACTAAAGAAAACATATTGAAAGTAAAATCTTAGATTGATCTTTTAAGGAATCTGTAAATTCGGAGGTTGTGAACCATAGTAAACCATCATTGTTCAAGGCGGTATCCAGAAGCACAAAGTTTATATAACATATTTAATTTTATCACGCTGATAAGAAATTTATTCTAAAAATTTTTTAATTTAATTTTGTGAACACTTGTGGAAGTCACTGTATATGTGTGTATACAGTGACTTTATGACAGCACTATGGTTCAAAAAATGTTTTATATGGCCAATATACATATGTTCTGTTTTAATAAATTATATTTTATAATATTACTAGCTATACCCAGTGTGCTTTGCTACCCTAAAAGGAATATGTATAAATAAATACCAGATTTATTATATGTTACATATGAAAGATGTCAAGCAAATTATTGCAAGTTCGCCAGTTTCTATCTATCGCCAATTTCTATCTATCTATAAAAAATTTGAATAATATAAGAGTTTCCAAGATGCACGAAATTTTGTATTTAATTCATATATGTTGTGCCAAGCTACCCATTGAAAGTCCGCCCGTTATGCTCTAAATGTTCACACGAATTTCAAAGTTCTCCATGTAAAATTTGAAGATTCTAGCTCTAATAGTTTCTCAGATATACGAATTTTTCTACTTGATTCATGTGGGGGCTTCAAGACCCCCCAGATGAAAGTCCGCTTTTTTTCCCTCCAAAATGTTCAGTTGAATATTTAAGTTCTTCGTGCGAAATTTGAAGAATTTAGTTCCATTAGTTTTCCAGATAAACGAATTTTTGTCTTTAATTAATATATGAGGTGCCGCTCCCCTCATGGGTAGTCCGCCAATTTATTACCCAAAATGTTTAGATGGAGGTTAAAGTTTTTCGTGCAAAATTTGAAGATTCTAACTGTAATAGTTTCCAAGATAAACGTATTTTTGTATTTAATTTATATGGGAGGTGCCACGCCCCCTAATGATAGTCCGCCTACTTTTTGTCCTAAATAATTATATTGACACTTAAGTTCCTCCGACAAAATTTGAGGACTCTAACGTTCAAACATACAAACTAACACACATTCATTTTTATATATATAGATAGATAAGAATATACAATTTTTTGTAATTACTTCACGTGATACTAGATATACATATTTTAATAATTAGATTTTAGTATTTACTTCATATGGGAGGTGCCACGCCCGCTTTTGCTGAACTCCCTATTTTTGTCCAAAATATATGTATTTAAACAAAAGTTACTTGTACAAAATTTGGAGACTCTATACGTGGGACCTCGCTCCTTTGAAATTTCAACATAAAAAGCAGTTATAACTCCTTCCAGACATACAGGAAGATATTGTGAAAATTTCAAGAAAATCAGTTTAGCCGTTTAAACCATATACCGGCGTATAGAGAGGCAGATAAAAAAAATCACCACTACATACACAATATTGGTATTTTTTCAATGAAATTGCACTGAAAAAAATATTTGGTTATTTTTAATTTTGAAGAATAAATTGCATTACTGTAAAATGAGAATATTTATAAAGAAAATGTAATCAATGTACATAAGAATGATAATTTCTTCACATAGAAACAACATTTCAAATTAAAATGTACAAAAAAAATAATGAAACAAGATGAACATATTTACTTTCATTGTTGAAAATTATTTAGGGTGTACGTTGTTTTTGTAAATTATGCTCTTGTTTTTGCAAGTTGTTATTGTTTTTTCAATTTGTGTTTGCAATTCCTTTAACAAAGCGACATCAGCCTGCTTTGTTGAATGCTGTCAAGCAACTAAATTAAATATTTCTATGTTTGATGCTCTTGTTTAGAAGTTCGTCTGCGATCGTGTTGTGTACATGTAATTTGCCGAAAATCTTCGTTGTCAGAACAATACTAGCGCCGACGTCTGAATAGATTCTATATATATAAAAATGAATGTGTGTTTGTTTGTATGTTTGAACGTTATAGACTACTAAACGGCTGAACCGATTTTCTTGAAATTTTCACAGCATATTCCTGCATGTCTGGAATAGGTAATAGGCTACTTTTTATTTCGAAATTTCAAGTGGGCGATGAGCCACGCCCACATTAAGAAAATATAAAATCCGTATATTTTAGATAATATAACAGTTAGAGTCCTCAAATTTTGTCGGAGCCACTTTAGTGTCAATATGATCATTTAGGACAAAAAGTAGGCGGACTAGCATTAGGGGGCGTGGTACCTCCCATATAAATTAAATACAAAAATTCGTTTATCTGGGAAACTAATAGAACTAAATTCTTAAAATTTAGCACGAAGAACTTTAACATCCATATAAACATTTTGGGTAATAAATTGGCGGACTACCCATGAGGGGAGCGGCACCTCCCATATTAATTAAATACAAAAATTCGTTTATCTGGGAAACTAATAGAACTAAATTCTTAAAATTTTGCACAAAGAACT